AATCCAGAGAGACCGATACAAAAGATGGCTTGCGCAAACAGAATGCGTTGTTCCCCGACCGCCGAAAAGCGGTTACAGCCGCGCACATTCCGCCGCGGACTGGCGCACACCGGCCGCGGGATGTTATGGCGTAAGCCTCCCGCTATACCACACTGACTCGCGCCGACCCCGAAGGAAGCGCGCCCTATACCTGCCGCCGAAGATGCGCTATAGCAAGCAGCCGTAACCATCGCGCGAGTTTTCGGCGACACGCTACATCGGCTCGGCGTTACATCGCGCTTTCGCAAATGGCGGGTTTTCCGCACCCGATGCGATTGACACGCCGTTTGTACATCCTCGCCGGTCGTACCGCTCACCTGCCGTAATTTTCGTACCTTAATCGCTTGATGCCGTCTCTCCCACACGTTGTGATCTTATCTCTCTTTCTCGAACACGTCCCCGCCCCCCCCCGAAGTCTGTCGTCTCTCTCTCTCTCTTCTCGCTCCTCGCACGCTCTGCCCGCCCACCGGTTATGTGCGCATTCATATATTTGTGTGTCCAGTGGTGCGCGGCAGCACCCACCCACCGGCCACCGCCACGTGTTGCTCAGCGAATTAGCTACGTGTTCAAAAAACTCCCACGGCCCTCACGCCCAGCAACGTGCTCGCACGAAGCGTGCCGTTTCGCCACGGGGCAGCGCGGGGCGCCTCAAGAGACATATCAAATTCAGATTTGCATATCCGCTTGCGCATCTTCACCATAGCCGAACTCGAAGGAATTCTCCACGTCTACAACAATCATACAATCAGTCAGGCTGCCGCGAGAACTACAGATGGCGCTGGTGGGCCACCGTCACGACTCCAGCTAGACTCCCGGCTACGCGGCCTTAAACTCGGCCAAGTATCGTTCGCTACACTAACAAGTACTTCCTCATAGGTTAGCCTGGGAGGGGCGGCGCGGGCGCGCTCTGCTCAAAACCTCTCCAACCGGCCGGGCAGTCCTAACCCACGCCGCGGCGACGGCACAATCTCCTCTGGGCCACAGCACACTCCCTCCGACCAGCAGGCCAGCCTCGTTCCCGCGCCCATCTACTGCGACACCGCCGCGATATGTACCCGAAGAATACATGGTCTCCACGGCCCTCTACTAGCACACATCTACCCATCGAATATTCACCGGAAATCGCTTTCTCTAGACGACCAAACGTATACCGCGCCACACGCCAAAACACCATTAAGCAGCGTCGCCCACCGCCACGCCATTGGATTTATTCTCCCGCCGCCCTACCCGTGCAGGTCTGAAAAGACTTCTGCACAATTCGCCCAGGAAACTGCTCCGAATCTGACTGCCCGACATCTCAGGTCCGCGCCTTTCTTGCCTAGCTACGCGCACGAGGGCTCTCGAAGTAGTATAGTCCCTCTACATAGACCACGCGCGCCGCGCAGCCGAATTGGCACTAGACAAAGGTGCCGCCAGCGCAACCCCCGCGCCGGCGCTTGGCCGCTGTTACGCGGGCGCTTCCCCGCGCCGTCCCCTCAGTCCCGCCGCTGCAGATCCCGTCCCAAGACGCAGATAACCAGCCAACGGCACGCTCCGTTCCCGTTTAGTCTGCTCCTTATAGATGGCGCATATCGAATACATCGAGCATTGATCCAGCAACAAACGCGAACCTACGCAAACTCCCTAGAACCAATACAGCGCCACCGCTGCTCTGCATTCGCTATCTCTATGCTACTGAGCGCATAGGATTCTTCCGTCCACGAGAGATTCAATGTAACCCATTTTTCCTCGACGATTCATTAGCCCTTCCTCCAAACTCTTGGCGTATCGCCGCTCCTACAATAGGGGCGGGCATCCGAAGCGGCGCGCCTCGCGCGCCTTAGCTATACTCATTGCAGCACTGCCGACAATCACGATGTGCCGTCCACTAGCTCTATATACGCTAGGCCGTCTAGTCGAAATAGCGGGCTGCCGCACCCCTCGCCGCCGATCTATTGCCTCCGTTATCTGTACACACCCGGCGCGCGACTGCGCTGTCACACCCCATACGACAGGCAACTGGTGTACAGCTGCACGGTCAGGCGGTCCGGAGCTATATTATGCCAAGAATATCATTATACGTAGACACAGTGTGTTTGCTCGATTATCGTACGAATCGTTGAATTTTACGTTATATTACTACATTTATTTATACATTTACGTGTACATATAGCGCGCCTACAGCGGGAATTTTTAGAAATTAACTTGGTTGCCGTACTCTTCATCAATCTGGATGGAGAATTGATAAATTTGTAGTGTGTTTATAATTTTGCATTTAGTTTGAAAACCAATAGATATTACGACGAGGTAAAAGTTTTGTTACAATGCCATCCTGCCAGACATTCTCATAGATATACATTTCATTACTATATATATATACTATAGTACTATCAAGCCCCCTATACGCTACTTCACGTATACCCTACCTAACCTCACTACTAGTATAATAATAGTCCACTATATAGTATACAGTATACTAATCAAACCAGCGTGTGCAAATGTGGCAAGACGCTGCGCTGTCCCTAGCCAACACGCTTATTATAGTCATTATACACTGTAGGCGATTCTGCCGAGTCGTATAGTATACCGTACCGTAGCTAAAAATCTTAGTTGTAATACTGTACGTTACACCGCACAACATTATAGTTTTTTTACCTGAGAAATAAAATGCGTGCTATAACTAATAAAATAAGGTAATTACTTGCTTACAATTTATATCAGGTCGTTAATGTACTAGCTTTGTGCAGGTTGTTGCGTATGTAAAATGTAGCATATCATATGAAACGTAACGTAACTGAAGTTTAAGTGCGATACGAACATCTCAGACGCATTGTAGCACGCGTACATGCTTATTAACGCGTTACGAATGCGTTATTAACACATATACTGTTATCGATTGCATTATAGAATATAGGATGCATGTCTAAACATTATACGGAATTAATTTTCGCAGCGTGGTTCCGACAAATAAAGATATCCCGGAAACGGACCGCGTGAGATTTACGTCGACGGGTGATGCCGTGTACATGTATCCAGCTATGCTCGAAAGCTCCTGTCCCCTCGAAGTTGACTACTTTCCGTTTGATAAGCACACATGCGAGCTTCGATTCCTTTCCTGGTCGCACAGCGGTGCGGAGATAGATCTCTTTCCGGCGGCAAACGACCTCGATCTGTCCTCGTTCGTCGACCACGAGGAATGGGTCATTACGAAATCGAAGATGGTGCGAAAGAGCATCAAGTACTCGTGCTGCGAGCAGAACTACGCGCACGTATACGTGTACGTGACCATCCGACGAAAGCCTCTGTTCTACGTGTTCTATTTGATCGCTCCGAGTGCCATCATCACGCTGGTGGCCCTAATCGGATTCTTCAGTCCGCAGAACGACCGCTTTGAGCGCGAGGAGTGCGTCACTTTAGGCATGACGACGCTGCTGTCAATGACCGTACTGATGATGATGGTTGCCGATGGAATGCCGAAGACATCGGACACGGTGCCGCTCATAGGTGATCATTGTATTTCGTACAAATTATAAGGACAAAATATTCATTTCAGCAGCTGCGAGTGCACTTACATCCGATTCATATACACCAAAACTACTGGTTCGCGTGTGAGCGTGCTACTATAGTTTATCCATGCCGCTAAATATTGTAATATGTGGGGTAGGCCGTCCGTTAAAGCGTCCTAATTAGCAGGTCCTGTTGATCATTAATGGACGGTGTTCTAACCCAAAATGAGAGTAGCAGAAGGTTCATCAATGCCGATTTCAGTTCCTTTAACTACGCGATTTTTACGTTTTGGCCTTTTAATATTATTGGTTTTGTTGTTTACTTCACGTACATTGCTTTCAGCCCCAAACCGGAATGTATCTCATATATATATATAGGATCAAGAGCGTATTAAGAAGGCCTTCTTAATACGCTCTTTATATGATGGAAATAATTATGAATTTATTAAATTATTTCTGTATAAGTCATATTCCAATCCAAGAAACCCACCTTCCTCCGAATTCCGATTGATTCGGATTAAAAACCTACTCTGGCTATAACTGTTACTAACTGTGAGAATTAACTCACATTTTCAGTTCAAACACGTCGCTAAACTTCTATATCGTAACAAATATCTTTTTGAGCAGCATTGAATTAAGATAATAGTATCGGTTGCTGTTGTTTAATGGGATAGTTATACGTGGCAAAGTAGCAAAATATTACATTCCTCGTTTCCTTTTATATGAATGATAATATGGTGCTTGCACTCTCACCCTCATTATCGGGCAAAAAGTTAAACAATTAAAGGAGCCGAACCCCGTTATTTTGGCACTATCTTATACAAGCACATTACGTTAATATTTTTATACGTCCTACTGCTACGAGTGTTGGTCTCGCACAAGAACAAATATGACGTCGCCAGATCTTTTATTTGTTCTTGCGTTTTGAAATCTTACAGTGAAGTATTACGGAGGACTGATGGTAACTATTTCAACCGCCACAATACTGACAGTCGTAAACGTCTGCGTGGCTGCCAAGGCTAATTCTGAAGTGGCTATTTCACCCAGAATTCGGAAAATCTTCTTTAGCCACGTGGCTAAATTTCTGCTCGTCTATATTCCACGTGACAAGGAACAATCAGCAAACGAAGATGTGATGGTAAAAAGACATTAAAATTAATTTAATTGTATTTTAAAATTACTTTTAGTGGATAGTCCAATATCAACACAAAATTGCTCAATTATTAATACACTGAATTAAAACACGTGTGGATTAAATAGAAATAAAAAGCAGTAATATTGCTGTGAGCGGGAATGTCACGAGTATCATATTTGTAGATAAGGTTACGTTCCTAATATTTATCGCTTACATGATTGCACTCGATCATCTGTAACGTAATTATTTTTTATTGCTCCCACACAGTCGAGGAATACGGTCGGTTTGATTCGCTCAGCGACCGCGTCTACTGAGAGAGGGGCGTGTGTATCACGGAAGATGTCTGGACAGTCTACGAGTTCATACTATTGTGAACAGGTGCGATATCAATGTCACACTTACAGGAACATTCTTGTGTACTAACATTTTTATTGGTTACATGAATGCACTGTATAACCACTAATTGTATTTGTATTTGTATCTGCGTTTGCGTTTGTACTTGTATTTGTAATTGCGTTTGCATCTGCATTTGTATTTGTGTCTGCGTTTGTAATTGTATTTGTGATTGCGCTTGTATCTGTATTTGTATTTTAGGCAGATACACAGGCGAGAAATCGGACAGATGCCACCCCCATAGCAATCGCGTCTACTGCAAGAGATCTAGATGAAAACCGAAGAATAAAAGAGAAAATCGACGCCCTTGTAGAAGTAACCGCCTTTATATGTTCCCATGAAAAGCGCCTAGTCGCGAATAGCATACAAAAGGACTGGAAAACTTTGGCTAACATTCTAGATAGACTATTCTTACTACTAACTATTTTGTCAGCCATTACTTTTTCTATCTACATGTTTACGAGCATACCATCTCCCGAAAAAATGTAATTTCTGAAGCCTATACATGCTGTTGTGATTGTTTTCGTTAATCATTTGGTGATGGTTAATATTATCATATATATATATATATATATGCAACGATTTTACGTCTAGTTGTGACGACGAATGAAGGTTCGACCACTGGATTGTAGTGTAAGAGTCAACAGCAAGAAATAGCAACACGTAAAAACCAGAACAAGCTGATAAAAGTGTTCACGCCGGGAATAGGCCCGGGGCTTTTATTCGGCCTTAGTCAACAGACTAAGGTGAACTAAAAGATGGTGCACAGAATCCCACACAGCATTGTCGCTGGGGTGTAGAAATATACATGATGAACCGAACAGCTAAACAGTACATACTAACACCCTGTAGTGAGTTGCTTGCCCTGTGCAGGGGTTAACTAGATACTGGTATGCTTACGTGATTCGTGAAGATGAGGCACTCCTGCTTGTGGCTGCAGTGCTGGCTTGACCCGTCTCGGTCGCTCCAGATCGTATACTATTCCCTCTCTCTCTCTGCCTTACTGAGAGCAGAGCCCAGCATTTATACTACAAGCTCAGCGTGGGTAGGGCTTCTTACCTGCCCATCATGCCTCACGAGAGACGGCGTGAATCAGTCATGTTTCATGTCAGCGCACATCACATGACAAAGCCACACATCACCCCACAGGTTTCCTTTCATACAACCGGCGTGGAATCACGTGATCGCTGTCATAGCCACCAGGGATGCTGTACATCGACCTGGGATGCTGAGACACGCGGACAGGACGATAGGATGCGGGATATGAGGCTATGGCAGCCGAAGTGTTGTTGCCTTCCCTTTCTCTCTTAGGACTCTTGCCGCAAGGTCATCCTTGGGGTGACAGCTAACGAACATTCGGATGCCCCTCCACCAGCAGCGCATCACTATCTGCGGTGCTTACCGAAGCAAGGGTCTCGAGGTATCGCCATACGGCGAGATGCCTTACCGTAATACGGCTTCATAGGAAGAGATGTGGAGTCCCTTGCCACATCCTACTACTCGACTATGCAGTGCCCGACAATGATACCTCCTGAGAGTCGGCGTGGCCCGTACGCCACTATACTCCGAGGTTATCTCACTGCCGCTCTGCTAATAAATCATTATAAGATTATAACAGAGATTTTCCGTGTTTTCGCAAACACTCCAAGCGCGAACAAATAGGAGGGCGCGATATACATGCGCGGGAATGCTAGTACATCGTTTCTCTACTACTGTTAATCTCTCGTGGATATCTTTAACTGATGTTAATGTGTGTATGAACGCCAGAAGGGATTCGCCTATTTACAATAAACCTTGGCAACGCCACAGCGAATACTGTTCCTTCTCATTCTAATACCCACATCATCATAGATGAGTTGACAGCCCGTGTCAGCGCTCAATCTACATCAGTGTGTCGTCGTCCTCTGACGCTATATACGGGAGAATAGCTCGTATCTCTACGTATATACGCCTATGGTAAGATGCAGCAGCACGACCATAGTTTAGTATGAGGTCATCTGGACGTCTCGCGTCACTAGTACAGGTGCACTACCTGTCACAGATGTTCATACTTCAACTGTGCGTGATAGCTACACTCATAGCGTGCAAATTTCGCAACTGAGAATTCGAGGTTCGAATGCCAGGGCTACTTTTCGCTACATCCTCTTTTTAATTGTATCGTGCGTCAGTGACGCGCGCACAAGTAGAAAAGCTCGCTTCGCTGATGGTGCAGTCTCCGTGGTGAAGGGACTTTCGTGCTCAAACACGAACTCCTACGGAAACCCCTGCTGCCTACTAGAGGTCGCGAGTTCGACTCTAGTAGAGGGCGGTCAGAACCGTGAAGCTTTTGCTCCCCACTTTCCGAGTGCGGCTGTTGTTCGCCGACGCTGACGATAGTAATTACCTGCATCACTGTTAGAATTTCATTCTTAACAGTGTGCTAGAGGGCGCTATCGTGATGACGTTACACCATGCTTCTCTACCACCTTTTCACTAATACACCAACCGTCGAGCTTGAACGGCTGTGGGTGAGTATAAGGGAAGCATAGTAGCAACGATTCTTCCATTTTGTGCTGTGACTGTAGGCGACAAGCGCGTATGTTGTCGACACGCGACGTCACGTGACGTGAAAGGACAGGTCTTCTGACAACTCGGCGGACCGTCCACTTAGTCATCCCGTAACGTAACAGGTCTCGTGCCACTGTATCGGACCATTCATCCGCCAACATAGCCGCTAGATATCATGATGTGCTACGTGCACGTCTCGCATGGTTCGGCGTCTCACTACATCATGCATCTCTCTCCCACAGTCGCATGTAGCTACTACTATATGCGGCTAGCGCTTGTTCATAGTACAAGTTCATTCCGCTCTCATTTGACATGGTTACTCGTCGAACAGTGATTTCTACCTCCAGACGTACTGGGGTTTTATATACCACCGAATATGCGCCGGACTCGCCGAAACGAGTGATCATATGATATGACCAGCTCGCCGAGGTTACACATTTCTCGCGGACGAAAACCCAGCGCATTGACCTGCGTCGACTACTCTCCCTCGTCACCGTCCACGTGGGGAAAAGGACGTGGGGAGGAATGCTTACAACCGCATCTCTTACTACGATTGCAAGTGAGTAGCGTGCAAGCAGGGCTTCTATTGTACTGCGAAAAGTTGTTTATCTCCGTGTAGGATCTGTAGCGTCGACAGCGTGGAGTAGCAGCGTAGTCGTGTGATAACCAGTAGAGAGATGATCCATCGTAGCAGGTTGTTATTGAAGACTGATTTATTTAGTCACTCGAACACATGCAAAATATTTACATACATATACTCCATACGACAGCCTAGGTTTCGTCCATATTGGAACCCACCTGGCGTCTGTCCTCTCTGGCTCTCTACATCGTATATGACTCACGTACGTCTCCTCGTAGGTAACTCTGTTCTTATTCTCTTTTTTTTCTCTCTCTCCGAGTCTCTATTTATACCATTTCCAAAATGGTCCGGCGACATTTGGATCCAACCGGTTCAATTATCGACCGGATCTTGCGGCTAGGAGGCGCGTCCCGTGTCATTACAAAAACAACACGAACAGGACAATTAGTCCCACCGCCTCGCCTGGCTATAAGCGCTACCGGTTAATTACTACGCCCAATGTACGCGTAGACACAATACAACAATTCTTCCTTCTCTCAACAAGATTCGTGTCCTCGCGAAAAAAAATACAGTTATGCATTAAACAAATTAAAAGTTAAAAATGTTAGTCTAAGCTTGCAAACATCAAACAGTGCCATAATACATGTTAGTAGGTGTGCTCTATGCTGTAATTTTACAAGCCCGGCATGCACCGACCGCGTTTACGTGTGATATAGCGATGGTAAATCCTTGGGGTAGAGAAGGGATGGAAAGTCCGGGTTTGAAACGAGTTGAGGGGGATCTGCAGCTGTCTAGTAAAAATGACGTCTCATTTTCCGTATCACAGGAAGGGGTCGACAGTCTGCAACGGTGACTCAACTCGAATCGGCATGGAAAGGCTAGGGAAGGATGGCAATCAAGGTTACCTCTTACCACTTAAAAGACGTTAATCATCGGTTAATCAAAAGAAATACTATACAAACAAACACTAAAACATAAAATACAGATAAGACCGGCTATAAGCTATATCGTAAACACATATCCATAGCCAACTCTTTGTTTAATAAAAAATTTGAAGAATTCGTGGTTTTGCTGTCGTGGTATCGACCCAATGGCATATCGGCAATCGTGACTCGGAAATGACTCAAAAATGACGCGCCGAGTGACGAAATTGGCTCGTTCGTCACTTTTACGTACTATGGTGAGTTTTGTGCCGTAGCAGCCTCTGTTGGTAGGGATAAAACACGCTGGAATGCGGCTTCCCTAAATTGCAACATCTGAGTCATACTTTGAAGCGCGGCTATAGGCGTCTCGCCCTCCTCATCGCATAGCTTACTATATCCTTTCGACGCTTTGAGTCACCGTCACGCCGTACAATGAAATTCGGATACCACGCTAGCTATAACTACGAAAAATTCGCGAACGATTTTACTGTTAATAAATTATTTCCGAATTTGTGGCTATGTATACAGTGATTAGGATGTAGCTTACCATAGGTGTCGCCGTGTAGATCTCTCTCTCTCTCTCTTCTCCTTCATCTTCTTCTTCATCTGCTCATCTGCTGTAGTTTTTCTTTCTCCATCTCCTCGTCTGCTTCTCCCTCTTCCGCTGGACGGCTGGATGGTCAGGTTCTCTTCTCGTCTTCTTCCTATTTCGTTCTTCTTCTTCTTCTTCTTCTTCAGCTGGGGGATTAGCTGGGTAGAGGTAGCGAATGCAGAACGACCATAATCCTCCACCAATTATTGTACTGCGAAGAGTTGTTTATCTCCGTGTAGGATCTGTAGCGTCGACAGCGTGGAGTAGCAGCGTAGTCGTGTGATAACCAGTAGAGAGATGATCCATCGTAGCAGGTTGTTATTGAAGACTGATTTATTTAGTCACTCGAACACATGCAAAATATTTACATAGCATATACTCATACGCACAGCCTAGGTTTCGTCCATAATTGGAACCCACCTGGCGTACTGCCTCTCTGGCTCTCTAACATCGTATATACCACGTACGTCTCTCGTAGGTGAACTTCTTTCTTATTCTCTTTTTTTCTCTCTCTTCCGGAGTCTCTATTATACCATTTTCCAAAATGGTCGCGCGACATTTGGAATCCAACGGTTCAATTATCGACCGGATCTTGCGGCTAGGAGGCGCGTCCCGTGTCCTTAACAAAAACAACACGAACAGTGACATATAGTCCCACCGCCTGCGGCCTGCTATAACGCTTAATAGTCCAGTTGTGAAAAGCCTTTTTTGGGGTGAATCGTGGTTATCTTGCGTCCGCCACAAGTTTTTTGGCGGAATTTGTATCTTTGAGCGGGTGGCAGATTAAGAATCTTGGATGATGCCGGCGCTGGAGCCTTGGCATTTTGCATAATATGCAAATTAACGCGGCCATTATCGAA